AATCCCAGCACCCAGGAGGCAGAGGCAGGTGGATCTCTGTGAGTTTAAGCCAGCCTGGACTACAGAACAAGTTCTAAGACAGCCAGAGCTATACAGAGAAACCCTGTCTCGAAAAAAAAACCAAATAATGAAAGTCATTCTTGAAACTGTCTGCATAAAGTATATGGAACTTAACATAATTCAACCACATACTTAAAAATGGTCAGGAAGAAGCAAACTGTCCCTTTCCCATGATCCCTCGGGATACTCCTTTCCAATTTGGGCAGAATGGTTCTCACAGAGTGGAAATAAGGACCGTCTGACACTAAGAAAAATATACCACCTCAAGAATACACCACCAACATCCATAAGCACACTCATGGAGAAGCCTCAAAGACTAATGATCCTGTGCACGTGGAGATATAAGAACTGCCAAGAAAGGAGACAGGGACTCCAAAGGTGTTTACTCAACAGAGTTGTCTGGGCTGAATGTGCAACATGCCTAACATGTACTAAGGAGGAAGACTCACAAACCACGCCTGAGAGTTTGTTCATTTGCTGTAGTGACTTGAATGAAAATATGTCCTACATAGTGACATGTATTTCAACTTGGTCCCCAGTTGACAGTACTGTTTGGAAGGTTTATGGTACTTTGAGAATGTAGAGCCTTGCTGGAGGAGATAGTCATGGGAGTGAGCTTATACAGCTTCCCACTTCCAGTTCACTGTTTGCTGGTATGCCAATGAAATGTGGTAAGAGGCTGCACTGGCTGTCTGCTGCCCTTTGGTCCCTGCCATTATGGACTCTTCTGGAACCATAACATAAAATAAACACTTTCATTTCTAAGTTGCTTGTGGTCGTGATATTTTATCACACCAACAGAAAAATAACTGATACACTTGTATTTTCACACCACTTTTTAAAAACTAGCTTCCTGTCCCAAAAAGAAAAGAAAGGAGGTTGGCGATGAACAAATAAACTGACAAATGAATGAATAAATGAATAAATAAGGAAGCATGACGACATGAAGTTGGGAAAAGACGCAGGGGATGTTGAGGGAGTTGAAGGGGAGAGAAGAGAAGGGATATAATCATATTTCAATGTATGTACATTATGAAATTCTCAAAATAAAAAGTATTAATTTTTTAATAATACTAGCCAGGTATGGTGGTACACACTTAAATCCCAACACTTAAGAGGAAAGGCAGACAGATCTCTGTCTTTCAGGCTAGCCTGGTCTTTATAATGAGATCTCGCCTAATAAATAAATAGATGACGGATAAATGAATGAGTGGTGCAATACTAGCTAATGATACTCAATGACACTTTGAAATAACTGCTACAAATACCAAACAAAGCCAACCCTAGAAACTACAAAAACTTTCTTTGATGGCAATAACACATATTTTTCTTGTTTTATATTAATCTTTAAAATCTAAATTTGCTAATGTAAAAAATTAAGTATCTGAAAAAACTGCCATTCTATTCATTCTTGTCACAAGTGCTAATTAAATCTGTACTTCACTGAGCTTTTCAGGATTTCATACGCACAATTAATTTTATTTTAGGAAGTACTAAAAGGCCAACAGAAATATGAAATTTCAAAATGTATTAGTTTAGGGTCGGCAAGACGGCTCAGCAGGTGAGGAGGCCTGCCGTGCAAGGCTGGCAAACTGACTCTATGCCCAGATGGAGAAGGCGACGGGAAGATGGACTCCACCAGGTGTCTGTCCTCTCACCTCCACGCATGCCCTGACGCCCGTGCTCACACACTACCTACCCATACTGATGAATCTCCAATGGTCCTGGCATGCAGTCCAAAGTTCAATCACCAGCAAGGCAAAAACAATGAAAAACCAGGGATGGGGGGGGAGGGGGAGCGATGACGGGACAAACTGAGTCTGCCAGAGCTTGACAACCTGAATTTAATCCCCAAGGCCCATATGGTGGAAGGAGAGGACTCCTCAAAGTTGCTCCAAGTACACCACGGCACACACACTCACACACATACACAAACACAGGCAGACAGGCAGAAATTTTAGACCTATCTTTAGCAAATGAACACAGCTTTCACGATAATGCTGTAAATGGCCTGAGTAGAGCAGGGGGAGACTGAGAGGGACAGGCCACTGCAATCATTCAGACAAAAGGGAAGTGGCACTGGGAATCCAAAGGACAGTAGGGAAGCTGCTTGTGAGACCACAACTTTACTAACAGATTGGTGTAGACAGATACAAAACACCAGAGAAAAGAAAAGCCAAGCCTGGTGTGGTGGCCCACGCCTTTAACCTGAGCATGGGGAGGCAGAGATAGGTGGATCTCTGTGAGTTCGAGGCCAGGCTGATCTACAGAGTAATATCCAGGGTAGCCAACGCTACACTGAGACCGTGTCTAAATTTAAAAAAAAAAGGAAAGGAAGAAAGAAATTCCAAGATCATAATGAGGCTTCCACCTAAGAAACTGAACAGATGTACAACTGCTAAGAGCTGAAATGAGGAAGACTATGGAAAGAAGCAATAAGATTTTTCTTTACGTTTCTTTACGTTTACTTATGTGTATGGGTATATTTTGCCTGGAGGCATGTCTGTGTACCATGTGTGAGCTTAATGCTCCCTGAGCCAGGAAAGGGCACCAAATGTCACGGCACTACAGCATGTGGGTGCTGAGATTCCAACCTAAGTTCTCTGGAAGAGCAGCCAGTGTTTTTAACTGCTGAGTCATCTTGCCAGTCCCCAAAGATTTTTTTTTTTTTTTTTTTTTTAAGTATTTCACTATGTAGTAGAACTGGCTGTGTAGAGCAGACCAGCCTCTAACTAACAAAGACCTGCCTGTCCCTGCCTCCTGGATGCTGACATTATAAAAGGTGTGCATCACCAACTCCAGGAACAGTAAGATGGTTGGTTTTTAACACACTCAAGATGTTTATTATGTAATTCAAATATAGATAAGTAGACATTAATATGAGCTTGGAGTGTAAGAACACACTCATATGCTGGCAAGATGGTCCAGTGAGTAGAGGCATTTGATGGAAGAAAGAGGTACTGACTGCTCGAGGCTGTCCTCTGCCTCTCTCCACGCACTGTTATTCCATGTGCACACAGACACAAACATTTTAAAATGTAAAAAGAAATGTAATAGGAAAATCAGGAGGATATTTGTAACTTGCCAGTTTGTAAATGAGAAATTAGGACATCCGAGTAGCAAGACGAAGAAGAAGAATCTAGAACTGACCCCTGCAGCGTTCTCATATGCAAAGACCCACGAGACACAGAAAAAACAAGCAGGTTATGGAGTGGAAACAGGAAAAGAAAGCCAGCATGGACTTCCTGGAAGCAAAATAAAAACAGAACATCTCTAATTATGCAAATATGCACTGACATCACTGAGACGTGAAGTTAGAAGAGGCTGCAAATAAAATGTTATGGAAAAAACAAAACCAAACCACGAGACCTTAACTTTTAAGACGCTGGCAAAAAAGTCACAAATCAAAGAGTGACTAGTTAAATATATTCTAAAATAAATCAAGAACCTTCGAACAAAAAGAAACCAAAACAGGAATCCTACTCTGTCACAGTCAAAAAAAAAAAAAAAAACCAAACTGCCCATACACTGAATGTCATCACTGCAGTATGAGCACTACCAACCATCACTTTCTTTCCCTTCCTTCAAAAGGTGAACCAGAAGTTTAAACATCTGAGCACTAATTCATGATTTCCGTAAGATCAGTGTTCTGCGTATTCTCGCCAACAGCCCTGTCTTCCTGTGTTTGGTGATATCACATACTTTTATTTTCCCCCTTCCAAAGCAGGGTCTCACTATGTAGCCCAGACTAGCTTCATACTTAACAATCATCCTACCTCAGTCCTCCAAGTGCTGGAATCACAGGTGACTATTCCTTTACTCAATTTCATTGTATAATTCTGGACAGTTTTTCCATTAGTAAGATGATGTGCTAATTATGAGTAAGAACATTGAATGGCTAATCTAGTCCATCAGATATATTACTGCTAAAATATACCAGGTTCCATTCTAAATACATCCCATGAACCAATGTACTTCATTCTCTCAGGCCAGTAAAGTAAACATGAGTGTCATCTCACAAATGAGAAAGCCAAGGGGCACAAATCTGCTTATAACGATACAACCTCACAAATGGAATAGGGATTTAAATCTGAAGGCTACAGAAGCAGGAACTCTTAAATACTCAACTACTACCAAGAGCGATGAATATACTCCTACAATCCCAGTACTGTGAAGCATAAGGCAAGAAGAAAAGAGCTCCAGTTCCAAGGCTAGTGTGGGCTCCACAGCACAACCTTCTTTAAAAGAAAACAAACAAGCAAACAAAGCACACCAGTGTGCCTGTGTACGCAGCTGCACCAGTGAAGTAATTCAGCAAGCGAAGGTGCCTGCTGCTTCCCCCCAGACTGCTACCTGGAGCTCGATCCTGGGGCCCAGAGAGTGCAGTGCATAGACATCAACAGGCTTCGTCTGACCTCCATAGTCTACTGGGGCAAGTTCATGCGCGCGCGCGCGCGCGCACACACACACACACACTTAAAAATCAAACTCAAAAATACACAAATACAATAACTAAGCAAATGACGTGAAAGAAGACTTACGTAAAAGAAAATACTACTTGCAAAAGAACTGGTGCCACCCGAGAGCCAAACTGTGCTCAATTAATACAACTCTACGTGAAAGATGACTGCTTCAACTTACGTTTTTAGTCTCTTACAAACACCTTCTTTAGATAAACAAGAAGGAAATTACCAAAATAAGAAATGGTACCCAAGATTTTTAAAATGTAAAATTATAATCTGACATTTCTTTCAAAGTGTCCATACTTTAGGCAGCAGTTTATAAAAAGTCTCTAAGTACCTAGTTGAAAGTCTATTTTGACTGAGATCATGATAACTCTTTAAAGTATAACTTATGTTTTGGAGAATTAACACACTTCACATTCTTAGTCTTGGTTCTCCTATGAGACAGAGAAGAGAGCAAATTCAGAAGTCTCTTACCATTGATCTTTCAGGATATCCAAACAAATAGCCCCTGTGACGGAACTAATATTAGGATGCCATATTTTAGTGATAAACCGGACCTAGAATATAAAGCACACTTGAGTTTTTAAGTAACAAGGGAAAAACAAAACAAAACAAAAACTCCAATATGTAAAGGTAAAATAGAACTAGAAGAAAATGATATTCCAAAAGAAATTATATACTTTTATGGCATCATTTTCCAAAGCTTTAGTGAACAAAGCTTTCAGTAGGCCAAAGGTCAATGACATATGTTTAAAACTTTTAATGTACATTCTACATTCAAACACAACTAACAATTACCAGATGTTTACACTGTACCTAGTATTATGCTAGATATGAGAAATAAAAGACTATAAAATCCAATAAAATAGCATGTAAAACCAAATAGAGACATTAAATGATACCTACCCAAGTGTGAGGTAAGGTACAAAACAGGCTTAAAGAAAAATGGATGCATATGCACTGATGGCTTATAATAGTCCCAATTTCTCTATACAAGTTATACTCAAATATTATTAAATAATTCAAATATTTGAAGGCCTATTATTACATGTCTAACACTACTGAGGAACTTAACCTTACAGTTTAAGAAAACTAAAATCAAGATAAGCGTGGTAGTAGACACCTTTAATTCTAGCAGTGGGGGACCAGAAGGCAGACCTCTGTGAGAGTTGGAGGCCAGCCTGATTTACATGGACAGTTCATGCCAGCCACAGCTACAAAAACACTGTATTCAATGATACCAACCTTTTCTCAATGGCTCTAAAGAATGCTCACTCCTGATTTGACTATTTGTGACAGGCCATTCATTCGTCCAATGCAAGATCATGCTATTGGCTTGACTTTAGACCACAACTCAGCTCTCCATAAATCCCATATTCTACTCTCTGCCTCAATTTCACATTCAAGGACATGTCGTTGTTGTTTTGTCTGAACTTTTGCTGTGTTATTTCTTTTCTCAGTAACATTCTCCTATACTCTCCTCCCCTGCACTAAACTCAGACTTTTAGCTTCCATTATTTCTCACTTCTTCCTAATCTATTCCCACAAAATCCTTTACTTCTCCCTACTGCACAGAACTGACTTCACAGCCACAGTCTCTGCCTTGTCTGGTCTTTAATGAAAGGTTCTGTCTCTAGCACCCGCTAGAACATCTCCAGTGTCTAAAGTACCTGACACTTACTATATATACTTACAATTACGGCAAATTTGTTATCACAGGGATAAACAAGAGCTCTTTCAAATACACACAAAGTCAAGTAAGACATACAGGACTTATGCACAGCAATCATTTCTTTTTGTTTGTTTGTTTTTCCAGACAGGGTTTCTGTGTAGCCCTGGCTGTCCTGGAACTTGCTCTATAGACCAGGCTGGCCTCAAATTCAGAGATCCTGCCTCTGCCTGCGCCATCATGGCCCACCATTTCTTTTCTTTTTTTTTAATTTTTATTTTATGTGCATTGGTGTGAAGGTGTCAGATCTCCTGGAACTGGAGTTACAGTTGTGAGCTGTCATGTGGGTGCTGGGAATTGAACCCGGGTCCTCTGGAAGAGCAGCCAGTTCTCTTAAGTGCTGAATCTTCTCTCCAAGCCCCTCCACCATTTCTTTAAAAAAAAAAAAAAATCTATTTTATTTGTGTTTGTGTGTGTGTGTGTGTGTGTGTGTGTGTGTGTGTGCACGCACTCTAACTACACTTGGATGGGTCCCTGAAAAGGCTAGAAATGGGTGTCAGATCCCTTGAAGCTGGAATTGCAAGAAATTATAAGCTGCCTAAGATGTGTGCCTAGAAATGAACTCAGATTCTCCGAAAGAGCAGCAAGAGCTTTAAACTGAACCAGACAGCCCTCCAGCAACCATTTCTTTGTAACAAATATACACACAAAAATGTATAACTTAATAACCAATCAATAAGTTAAACTCATAAAGACATCAAACAATCACTGAAATTAGCAGCAATATCTCAAGGAAAGCATAGCATTCTACAATTTCCGATAACTTATTTTGAGACAAAGTCTCCCTCTGTCTCCCCAGTGCTAGAAGTAAAGGTGTGTTCCACCACAGCCAGCTCTAACCTTTTTCTTTTGGATTGATTTATTTCATGTATACAGTGCTCTGTCTGCATGTATGTCTTTATGCCAGAAGAGGGCGTCAGATCTCATGACAGATGGTTGTGAGGCACCATGTGGATGCTGGAAACTGAACTCAGGCCCTCTGGAAGAGCAGCAGCCAGTGCTCTGAACCTGAGCCGTCTCTCCAGCCTCTACTCTGTAATCTTAAAGCCTTTGTGACAAGAATGAAATATAAAGTATTTTTCTGTTTTGTTTTTTCTTTTGTTTTTAAGATAATGACCCCAAACTCAGGATCCTCCTGTCTCAGCCTCCAGGGTGGAGAAATTTTAAAGCTGCACTAACATAGCTAGCTTTTGTAAAATAGAATTTTAAATTACTACTAAAGATGCCCGAGAGTATTTAGGCAAGTGATCTGAGGACATGTTAACTCATCTTGTTCTTGCAGGGAGTGGGGAGCCGTAGTGTGGGTCTCAAACCGAGGAGACCCAGGGAATAGAGAGACAAGAACTCTACCAGTGAGCTATATTGCAAAGCCCTGTATCTTGTTTTTAAAGAGAAACCCACACTTTTTTTTTTTATAATTATAGCAACTAATTCTTTTTTTTTTTTTAAGATTTACTTATTTATTATGTACACAGTGTTCTGTCTGCACGTATGCCTGCAGGCCAGAAGAGGGCACCAGATCTCATGACAGATAGTTGTGAGCCACCATGTGGTTGCTGGGAATTGAACTCAGGACCTCTGGAAGAGCAGCCAGTGTTCTTAACCACTGAGCCATCTCTCCAGCCCAACCTATACATATTTATTGAAGATATATATGTACAGAACAAGGAATTAAATGGAGCAAGGAAACTGTTAAATTAATTCTTATTCTGATGTGAAATTTCCTGTTTAAAAATTTTTTGAATTTAGATGGTCCAATAAAGACATTTTTTCTTCAAGAAGACACTCAGTTATCACCTACCCATTCAGCAGTGACAGACTAGTAAGACATGTTTGTGTACACCAGCATTCCATCCCCTATTTTTTTTCTTATTGTTTTTATCACCTTTTACCTCCTTTCTTGCTCTGCCTTATGTTATCCCTAAGCAACCACACGCTTTCCACGCCACTGTTCTAAACCCACCTACTATCCACTACATACCTATGTTTCTTCCATTTCTTTAATTCCTGAACTAAGTTTACAGAAATCTACAACTTAACAACAACAAAGTTGGCAGGGATGAAGTTAAGCAACAGAGCCAAGTGGGCAGCACACCTCCCGTCCCAGCACCTGGGAGGAGGAGCGGGAGGCTCACAGGGCTAGTCACAATATCTGTGCAGAGTTCTAGGCCTGCCTGGACTGAGTGTAAAAACCAAATCAGGTACCAGATGTTACGGTACAAGCTTTGAATCCCACTTGGGAGGCAGAGGCAGGTGGACTGCTGGGAAGACTAGGCAAGCATGGTATACACACCAAGTTTCAGGGCAGCCAGAGATACATAGTAAAACTGTGTCTCAAAGTAAACAAGAAAACAGATTAACAAAACAAACAAGCAAGCAAGCAAACTAAGAGTGGCCGAAATGGCTCAGGAAATGTAAGATCTTGATGAGTCAGTCAAAGTTGGTGTTTCCCAACTTCAAACCCAGTACTCGGGAGGCAGAGAAAGGCTATCTCTGTGAAGCCAACTTGGTCAACACAATTGGACAGACCCCCAAAGCCACCCCCTTGGGATACAGAGTCTCACTATGCAGCTTTGGCTAGCCTGGAACTCACAGAGACCCACCTGTCTTGGACCCAGAAAAGCTGGAATACAACACCATGCAAACAAACAAAATTTGTGCTGTGGGTTGCTCATCCCCACAACCCATGAAAAGGTAAAAATCAAGAACTCAATCTACAAGCTGTCCTCTGATCTCCACATGCACACCACAGCGCAAATACACAAAAATGCAGTTTTAGAGAACAGTACAACAACACAATGCTCTTTCTGAGTCACATTCTGCATCAATTACACTTAAGTGATTTGTAGTACTCTAGTACTATATACACTAATAAAAACAATTCAAGTCTCTATTTTCATGCATTAGCAACATGTAAGAAATTCAAAGCTTGCTGGGCAGTGGTGGCGCACGCCTTTAATTTCAACACTTGGGAGGCAGAGGCAGGTGGATCTCTGTGAGGTCGAGGCCAGCCTGGTCTACTGAGCAAGTTCCAGGACAGACTCCAAAGCTACACAGAGAAAACCTGTTTCAAAAAAAAAAAAAAATCTGAATATTGTATACACAGAGAAAAAAATTGTTACAGATCAGAAGAGAGACACTGCTTAATTAGCTATACTAGCAACGATTATCAGTATTGTTCTCTCTTCCTACAATGTACAGTCTCCATCTCCCTCACTCTTTAATTCATTAAATATTTCAGCTCCTACTTCGTGTTAGAGACACAAGTTCACAATTCCATCATTAACTTCGATGAAAAAACTTCAGAATATTGTATTTACTCCATAATAGAAAATACTTCACTAAAGGAAAGAAAATACTCTATTATTGAAAACAGGTAGACCTGCTGTTTTGGAGAGATGACTCAGTGGTTAAGAGCACTGGCTGCTCTTCCAGAGGACCCAGCTTCAAGTGCCAGCACCCCCATGGCAGCTCACAATTCCAGTTCCGGGGAATTGCACACTCTCACACAGACACCAATGCATATAAAATAAAATAAATTTATTTTTAATTTTTAAAAAAGATTAGTATTGGTATTTAATATTCAATTTCAGAGCTGGAGAAATGGCTCAGTGGTTAATAGAACTGGTCATTCTCCCAGAGGACTGGGGGTTCAATTCCAAGCACCCAGACGTTTGTTTCTTTTTTAAAAATAAACTGCATTTAAAGAAAGCCAAAGGCTCAGATATTTACTGTTTTATTTTAGTGTATAAGGATGTTTTCTATGCATTTATGTCTGTGCACCACGTGTATGCCTGGTGTCCAGGAAGACCAAAAGAAGGCACTGGATACCATGAAACTGGAGCTGCAGATGACTAGGAGCGGTTACATGGGTTCTGGGACTTAAACCCAGATCCTCTGGAAGAGCAGCCGGTGCTCTTGACACCATCTCCCCAGTCCCCTCACAACTATTTCTAACTCCAATTCCAGGGGATACTAGACACTATTCTGACTTCCAAGGGCACTGCATGTATGTGGTGCACATACATATATGCAGACAAAACCATACACATAAAATAAAAATAATCTAAAGCAATTACTACTTATTTCATATATTAAAGAGCTATATTGGCTAGTCCAATAGTGAGGTGGCCATTCTAACTGGGGGCTCAAACAGCTATATACCCAGCCCATCAGCATCTAATTCTAAATTACTTCTTTTTTTGGGGGCGTGGGGGGTTTTGAGACAGGGTTTCTCTGTAGCTTCAGAGTCTGTCCTGGAACTCCCTTTGCAGACCAGGCTGGCTTCAAACTCACAGAGATCTGCCTGCCTCTGCCTCCTGAGTGCTGGGATTAAAGGCGTGCACCACCACTGCCCAGTTCTAAATTACTTTTATTACCTCAAGAAGAAACCCTGGGCTACAGCATTTGCCTAGTAGGCACAAGGCCCCATGTTCAACCTGAACAGAACAAAAATAGAAAAGAAAAAATGAAAGCAAAGGGCTGAGAACATGAGACAGTGAGAAAAAGTAACTGATGCACAAACGAGAAGACCCGAGTCTAAATCAAACACACATGTGCTCAAGCACGTGCACACTCAAACACAGAGGGGTGGGGTAATATACTTTGTTCTTACTCCTTCCGCATTAGGATCTGAGAAGGGTAATCAGTCTAATAACCTAACACAAAGACTACCCAATCCTCAAGAACCTGGGTGTTCAGCAACCCTTAGCCCAAGTTCTCTCACCTTTCAGAGCTAAAGGCCATTACAGAAAACGAAAATTCACAGCACAAATGACAGTTATCACTATTGTTGTCTAATACTGAAGATGCAATGGCTATAAAGCCTGTTTCTTCCATTTTTTTCATTTCCATTTGGAATGAAAAATACAGTGTTGCTTGAATCTAGGAGTTCATGACCAGCACAGGCAATACAGGGAAAGCCCTTCTCAAAACCAAAAACCCACTGGGCATAGTATCATATACCTTTATTCTAAGAATTCGGGACACAGAAGCAGGCAGATCTCTATGAGTTCCAGGCCAGTCAAGGCTACATAGAGGGACTGTCTCAAAACAAACAAAACACTCATGGACTGACCAGATGGCTCAGAGAACAAAGGCAGTTGTTACAAACCAAGTCTTACAACTTGAGTTTGATCCCTGGGCCCCAAGTAGTAACAGAAGAAACAACTCCCACAGTTTGTCCTTTAACAAACATCAGTGTGTGCACATTGGACCACTTGTATTTACAGAGTGAGTGTGTGTGCATACACAGTAAATAAGCAAATAAATTTATTGAAAGCCCACTCATGTGAATGGATAAACAAAGTGGAATATGTGCATACAATGAATGAAACACTCAACATTAGAAAGGGAGGAAATTTGGACGTGTTATAACATGGATGAACAGAGGCAACAAAATGCTAAGGGCAGACACCAAAGTGAAAATACTGTGTGATTTGTCTTATACAATGAACACAGAACAGACAAATTCACAGACACAGAAAAAATAGAACAATGGTTTTTCTTTGCTTTTTGGGGGAGGTGGGGAGAATAGTATTTTATTTAGATAGGGTCTCTTCTATTTGTAGCTCTAGCTGGCCTGGAACTCGCTATGTAGACCAGGTTAGCCTGGAACTCACAGAGATTCACCTGCCTCTGCCTCCCCTCAGCTGGAATTTCAACAGTGGTTTATAAAAGCTAGAAGTAGGGCACTAGAGAATTACTATTTAATGAACACACATTTCACTTTAGGAAGATGAAGAAAGTCCGGAGTAGACGCTTATGGTTACACAAAATGTCAATACATACTGCTGAATAATACATCTAGAAATGGCTGAGGGGACTAGAGTGCTCACCTAGAATGCAGAAAGCCCTGCCTGTGATCCCATCACTCAGGAGGTGAATGCAAGAGGATCATCAAGGTCATCCTCAGTACATAGGCAGCTACTCTGTCTCAATCAATTAAAGGGTTAAATTGGTAAATTTTATTTTACCACAATTGCAAAAAGAAAAGCAAACTCCCTTCCCTCTCAAAAGTCAGGTATATCATAAAATAGATGTGCCTAAGCAACAGAGCAACAGAGCTCCAAACTCATCCTGGAACACTGCAGATGAAGTCAAGAAGTACAGTCTAATGTGCACAAGGTTATAGGTTCAATCCACAGCAACGAAAAACAATGAACGAAAAATATTCAACCTGCAAGTTTCACTACCATATTAATTCCTGTTTGTATTTTGGTGCTGTGTACTTTTTGGTTTTGTTTTCCCGAGGCTTCTGGTACAGTGCCAGAGGGCCTCCAACTCAGCATCTCCAGGGGTTGAGGTTACAAGTTCCTATCCACTCTTAAGTAGAAACAACCAAGAGGTTAAGTGATGCATTCCAGAACATTTCAGCTGCTATGATATGCTAATCAAGGACATTAAACTATTAAAAGCTATAGATAAAACACAGAAGTAATAATGCCACTGAAGACACATGTTCAATACATGAATTGGTTCTCTATTATGTTAGCATTATATAAATTTTATAAAATACTAATGAGATGGGGAACAACTCTTTATTTAAGAGCATTTCTTGCTCTTCCAGTACCCAAGTTCAGTTCTCAGCACCTACAAATGGCAGCTTACAATGTCTCAGAACTGCTTGTATCCAGATTCTAACTATAAGGGATACCGTCTTCTAGTCTCATGGGCACCCATACACACTTAGCATATTCACATTCACATGCATACACGTAAATACCTTTAAGAACAAAAAATACATGTCAGGAAAGCCTTTAAATCCAGCATGTGGAAGTCAGAGGCAGCTGCATTTCTGGAAGTTCCTGAGGCCAGCATGGTATACATAGAGAGTTCCAAACAAGTCAGAGCTGCACAGTGGCACTGTCTCAAAACAACGGGGAGAAGGGGTGTAGAGTTGGCTCAGAGGTTAAAAGTGTTCCATGGAGGGCTATCAAGATGGCTTGGAGATTAGGAGCACTGGCTGTTCTTTCCATGAATCCAGGTTTGATTCCCAGCAACCACATGGCAGCTTACACTTATCTGTAACTCCAGTACCAGGGAAGGCCCTCTTCTGGCCTGTGGTCACTGGATCACACAGTGCACAGGCATATATGCAGGACAAACACTCAAAAATCAAAGAGGATCTGCTCCTCTTGTAAAGGAGCCATGTTTTGCTGCCGGCCTCAGGAGGCAGCTCATAACCACCTTTAACTCTAGCTCCAGGGGACTCAGGTAAGTTCTCTTCTGGACTCTTTAGGTGTCTGCTCTTCCATATGCACACAGAGATATACAATTAAAATAAATAAATAAATAAATAATCTATTAAATTATTAACCCAGCACTTGGAGGCAGATCTCTGATTTCGAGGCCAGCCTGGTCTACATAGTAAGATCCTGCCCAAATAAATAAGAACAGATAAATCTATTAATTTTTTTTAAATGAAAGCTAAAAAAGAAGTATTTGTTGGACACAGTTTACAAAGATGTATTAACTCTACTCACAGCTCAAAGAAAACTAGTTTCAAATGATATGGATAAATACTTCAGTGAAAAACAAGAGAAGGCACACAAGAGTAAGCACCTCTCTACAAACAGCAAATGATCTAGGCTGGAAAACGAGATCCATGGATGGATCAAAGGATAAAAGACTAAGATGGACAAGAAAAGTGAGATCCAGTTGTGGGAGCTGTAAGAGCCAGGATAAGGAGTTTAGACACTATTAGCAAAAAGAAAAAAAAAAGGTAGCAGCACTCTTCTTTAGGAACATTTACTGAGCTGGGTGGTGGTGGCGGCGGCGCTTGCCTTTGATCCTGGCAGAGCCAGGTGGATCTCTGTGAGTTTGAGGCCAGCCCGGTCTACAGAGCGAGATCCAGGATAGGCATCAAACACTACACAGAGAAACCCTGTCTTGAAAGAAAAAAAAGGAACATTTACTGAACAATGAATGGGTAGGATGACAAAGGTGGACAGCTGATCACATAATAGGCAAACAAGGAAGTAATAAAATTAAATGCCTAAACAATGGCTATAAGGTAAAGGTGTAGAGAAACTGACTTACTCCAAACTCTAAGTTTAGGGTAGGTTTCCTTGTTACATACAGTCCTGGAGTAACGCCATTCTTTCTCAATACTCATCACAGTTAAAATAACGGCTTTTCCCTTCTACAATGTGAACTCCATAAAATCAGAGTGGAAATCTTCCTAATAAATTCCTTGCACACTTTACGCATTATTTTAGTTTGTTGTTTGTTGTAGTTTGTTTGGGGTTTTTCTTTATGGCAGTAATTCAAATAGAACCCACGGCCTAGCACATGCAAGGAAAGTGCTCTACCAATGAGCTAGCTAATCCCTGATCCTCAAATAATTTCTAAATGAGTGTAATATACTTCTTTAAACAACATTTACTTAAAACAAGAAAGAAGCTCTCTCTAAATCAATAATCTAGCTATTTATCTGAAGCTAGTATTTGGGCCCTTATGAGATACAAATTGTATTCAATATACAGTCATCAATGGCTACCTTTAGTAAACTCTGCTTTTCACTCTAACTTCAGAAGCAAACCATTGACCAGTGCCTGAAATCTTGTCTATTAAATTTAGTCACATTAACTCAGAATGCTGGAAGTGAAATATATTGATATTCATTTATTAATAAGGTGAGTCAAAAATACAAAATATTTTAAAACTCCATGCACAAAAGCAGGCTTACAATACCTTAGGGGGATTAAATGGATATGTTTCTGGTATTTTTATCTCTAGTTGATATCTTCCACCTAAAAAAACAGGAAAAAACAAAATTGAGAATGCTAATTGACTCAAATATGTGAAACCAAATACACTGAAAGACTGTTTCAAAATATCGATTTTGTATTGAGTGCTAAGAAAATTAGAATTCCGAAATAAAATCAAAGTTATACTTTTATAATAAAGCATAGAAAACTTTCACTGTATATAATTATATTAATTAGCAGTAACAGAACTAGAGACACAAAAAAACATTAACTCTATAGACAAACCAATGTCAAATATTTCATTATTAATTAGTAGCATAAGGTTCAGGTCTTATTTTCTCTAGTCCACCTGGTAAGAGATACTAACAGGAAACGGAAGGTTTAAAAAAAGGAGGGAGGCAAGGAATTTCAGGACATACAGTAGAGACAAAGGACATAGATATGTCATTAACAAAAGGAAAACTCTCTTAACTAGTTCTCTCCAAAGTCTCGACCTTTCCATTTATGCCCCAAGTGGGGCAAGGTGTGACATACCTGTAACCCCAGCACTTGGATAGTATAGAAAGAAGAGAACCACTGGGTGGTGGTGGCACACTCTTTTAATCCCAGTACTAGTAAAGCAGAGGCAGGGGGATCTCTGTGAGTTCGAGGCCAGCCTCGTCTACAGAGGAGTTCCAGGACAGTCAGGGCTGTTACACAGAGAAAGCCTGTCTCAGGGAGGAAAGAAAAGAGAAAGGGAGGAAGGGAGGGAGGGAGGGAGGAAAGAAAGAAAAGAAAAGAAAAGAAAAAGAAAAGAGAGAAAAAGAAAAGAACCAGAAATCCAAGGCCAACCTTGGCTTCATAGAATGTTCAAGACTAGCTTGGGTTACATAAGACCTGTCTTGAACAAAACTAAAAGAATCAACTTGTGTCCCTAAGTTAGATGTCAACATTTTGCTTAAAAGAACAAAACAGGGAAGAGAGGGATCTTTGATTGGTATGTAAAATGAATAAAACAATTTTCTTAATTTAAAAAAAGAAAAATGGAAAAACAAAACAATAAACAGGCTCAACACTATCTTCTTCCAAGATTTTACAAAGTACTAACTGGCAATAATTTATATAAACAGAAAGCAACATTCTGTTTGGTTTTAAAGTTACCTTGACCAGAAGCTAAACAGGCATTTTGAAAAACTCTATTTAAAAAAAAAAAGACAAATGTAGCTATGTTCTCACAAACGAAGTAATCAAAATGAACCATGTCTCCATGTTCCTAATCTCTGAAGGAGGAAGTTTTGCAATGGGTGGGACTGACTAAGAATACCCCCTCTAAACTGGGTGTGGTACCACACTCCTACAATGTTAGTACTTGGTATGGGGAGACTAGAAGATCTGATTCAAAACCCTGCTGACCTACAGAGCAGAGCATTCAAGGCCAGCCTGCCTTAAACACACCTCTCTCTCCTTCCCCCCAAAATTCTACCTCTAATTAACCTCCCAGTTCTAGATTTCATGACCCACTAACATGAAAGATTTGCTATTAAAAAACAGGAAATAAAACATGGAAATACACATGAAACGAGGCGATTTTTCTATTAATAATCAAGGTATGAACTAGATTTTAAAAAAAACTAACCATGTTACTAAATCACTTAATTAGAGATTTCATTACAATATTATTCCTTCATAGTCATGTGAAAAGTAACATATAGTAAGAAGCAAGCTAGTCAGCCAGGCAGTGGTGGCGCATGCCTTTAATCCCAGCACTTGGAGGCAAAGGCAGGCAGATCTCAGTGAGTTTGAGGCCAGCCTGAGCTACAAAGGGAGTTCCAGAACAGCCAGAGCTACACAGAAAAACCTTGTCTAGTGGCATTATTATCATCAACCAATCAGCTCTTGGTAAATGGTAAGCAGGGAACTGTTGTCAGTACATTGGGGTCCTATCAAATCTACCTTTCTCCACTGTTATGAAAGCATGCGTGTGAATCTCAGAAAAAAAACAAAGAGCATTTCACAATACTGGGTTCTATAAGCAACACCCACCTCCCCTCCCACGCAAATCCCAAGGTCTCACTATCTAACCTAGGCTGGCCTTAAACCTGCAATTCTCCTGCCTCAGCTTTCCAAGTGCTGGGATTACAGAAATGCAACATTATTCTGGATCTTTAAAAGCTGATTCAATTTTTTTGTCTTAAATTCCTTTTGGTAGAGTCCCCTCTATTAAATGATATATGAACTGAACAAGAAATCTGAATCACGAACACATGGTAAAAGTGAAATATAAAGACAACCAGTCCCAACCAAAGAAAGACAGACAGGTAAGAGAAAGGTCCTGAAAAAGAGTTTTGTAACTATGGAGATGACCTTTAGATTAAGGGTCATAAACAACAATTCCAATCCAGGTATAATGCAATGAGCTTGAAGAATATGTAGACTCACTGTTTCCTTTTTCAGTCGATTACTAAAGTGAGAATAAAATCGCGGTCTACACTCATGAGGAAGTGGCTCCAGCACACACACACACACACACACACACACACACACACACACACACTGAATTGCCCACACAGGCCTTTCTCCTCCAGCACACACACACACACACACACACACACACACACTGAATTGCCCACACAGGCCTTTCTCCTCCAGCACGCGCGCGCGCACACACACACACACACACACACACACACACACACACACACACACACACACACACACACACACACACACACTGAATTGCCCACACAGGCCTTTCTCCTCCCCGAAGAGCCTCTCTTCTTCTGACTAAACTTCACCTTTATCTATCACAAAGCTCTTCCTTCTTAAATGCTTAACACGATTTTCAGGAGTAGTTTAAGAGCCCAGAGATATTATATAAATACTGTTAGATTGTGGAGTTCTCAAAATCTTATTTCTACTCCATGTTACATTGGTTTGTCTTGTATTAGACAACAACTTTCATACAAAAATCACTGTAGGATCAGTCATGACATACAATAATTTCTGCTTGGACAATGGATATGAAAAGTGCATCACTAAGTGATCTCACCTGTGCAAACATCACAGCCCATCAAAGCAGCTAATTGACGCTGGGTATTAAGCTCAAGGGCCCACAGTCATACAAGTGGCCCCATCACTGAATATCTAAGGCATTTTTATAAGCAGAATACACAACGACCTTCAATATAATTTATTTACTTCTTGAGGAATAGCTTTTATTCTATTTATGTTTTATGCCACTTTATTTTAGAGACCAGATCTTGCTATGTTACCGAGGCTGGCCTTGAACTCTTAGGCTCAAGTAACTCTTCCTCTCACCCTCCTAAATAGCTAAGTACAGACATGCCACTACACACAACTTTAATAGCTTCCAATTATTAAACATTTAGCAACTTTTTCTTCTATCTTGTCGGGTGGGAGTGGGGCTGAAACGCATCCTCTATAGCCTAGTCATTTCTGGAACTTAGGTATCCTAGGGTAGCCCTGAATTCAGAGCACTCCTCAGCCCCTCAATGCTAGGGATACAATCGAGAACCCACTATGTCCAGAGAGACAAGGGTGAGCTTTAACTTCCTCCACAGAGAAGAAAGGAAGTGGAGGAGAGTTACTAAACCGCCATTTAAAATCACCAATTTGAAAGAACTTTGACACAAAAAGAACTAAATTAGTTCTTTACCACAAAGTTATTTAGGAAAAGGAAGTTAAGAAACCTGAGTAAATGAAATGCACTATGGGAATTTTCCATGTTTTTCTCCTTGATACTCTTTTTAGCGATAATACAGATGAGTATTTACAGGTCAACTTTTACTTTAAGTCATACCACAAACAAAAGCAGGCTGAGGAGCCACAGCCCAGTTAGAGCTTCTCCAGCAAGCACATGGCCCTGAATTCTAAGCCCAGAATGCCTATCTCAGCTCCAAAAGAAAGCAAACACCAAACTCATACCCTCCAAAACAAAACAGCAAGCCTGCCTTCCTTCCACAAATTTTCACCTGTGCTCATATGAAGAAGAAAAGTTTGACTTAAATGGTACTTTTCTTCAAATACTGCTTCAATAGTTTTATGATAAAAAGATCTTAAAATAATCTACTCTTCAAGCACTTGCCCCCAAATCATAAGGGAACTAATAAAAAAATTGTCTTATTTTGAAGCAGCTACAGAAATCAACAAATAACTTGTTTTAGCAAATATGGAATGTTTTATCGTAATTAAGAAAAAATATATATTATCCACTTTTTCCAAGTTCATTTATTTATGAAACATGGCTAATAAGGTAACAAACATTCTATCCACTGAGCCTAAGAGGTCCCCGTGTATTATAAGTTTGCTGGAGAGCTCTAGAATAATAATACTATTTCTTGTATTTTAAAAATATCTAAACAATCTCAAAAAGCACTTCAGGAACAATTATGAGGTTAGGGATGTAGATCAGTTTATAACTTCTTGGGAACATACACAAGGCCTTGAATTTAATCCTTAGTACCACAAAAAAATAATGAAAGAGAAAAACAAAAACGTAATTACAATACCTGCCATTAAAGAAGCGAGGAGAGCAAAACAATATTTGCTACTATGACATTTGATTTTTATAAGATAATTAAAATCGGGGTTGGGGATTTAGCTCAATGGTAGAGCGCTTGCCTAGCAAGCGCAAGGCCCTAGGTTCGATCCTCAGCTCTAAAAAAAAAAAAAAAATAATAAGATAATTAAAATCTTCTAATGGATGTCAAAAGAACTAAATGAGCCAGGTGTGGTGGTCCATGCCTTTAATCCCAGCACTTTGGGAGTCAGAGGCAAGCACATCTCTGTGAATTCAACTCCAGCCTGGTCTACATAGTGAGTGTCCAGAACAGCCAGAGCTACACAGTGAGACCCTGTCGGGAGAGGAGGGGTGTACAACAAGCCAGACACATATTAGGGGTGTACATATTAGTAGGTATGGAATACTTAGCAATCTAAAATTTTTACACTTCAAAATTGGTGCCCCAGGCATATGGGTTGTGCCCAGGAGCCCAGCAACTGGAAAATGGGAGGAGCAGCAGCGGGAGCTCAGAGCCAGCCTCAAGCACAGCTGCCAGTCTGAGGACAGCTTAGGTCCAGGAGAACCTGTCTCAAACAAATCTGAGAGGACAAGGAGAGAATGGGGGAAGGAGAGAGGAAAGTCAGGTAAGGGTAGCTCACACCTATAATCCCAACACTTAGAGAACTGAAGCAGGAGGACTGCTTCGAGCTTGAGGCTAGCTCCAACTACAAGAAAGAACTGATAGTGACACTCTAATGTAATGACGCTCTAGGCTCTGAATGAAAACAAACTCTGCCAACAATACCGAGTTCTTCTGAACGTCACTACAGATTACTGAGAGCACTACATTTAAGGAAGCCATCAGCACCACTTCTAATACTTGGGGAATCCTGATTTCCTCAAAAGCAGAAAGCTATTTAAAAGCATAGGCTATGAAGTCAAAGGCAAGCTAAATCCCAACTGTTCCACCTAAGATGTTTGACCTTAGACAAATGACTTCTCTCTAAACTCAAATTTGTCTATTAAACAGGGATTAGTATACTTACCTTGTAGGATTAGGTGAAAACTGAATGAGAAAATGCATGTAGTGCTCTTACAAGGAAGAGCTACCACATAAGGCCATATGCCTTCTATTAAACAATATTTGAATAGTTATTATGCAATATGCCAAGCCATGGTTCTCCTACATGACCCAAACTTGCAACAATACATGTTAATGAAGATTTGTCTAAGAAATCCAAATACTACAGGTTCTTCCTTTATCATATACTTAATTCCAGGTTCTACAGTAAAGAGCTAAAAGTCATAATTATGAATATGGAAATCAGCAAAGCTATGTTCTTTTTTGTGTGTTTTAAAATAATCACTCAAGTGGTTTTAAATAAAGAAAATTAAGTTCTGAAAAATCTATATAATTACATGACCAAATGAAATATGAAATGATAGGGAGGGAGAGCTTTAAAAGCAAAACCATCATCTTATTAGTCAAAATGTTAAGACAAGGTCTGTTATTAATCATATCAAGGGTATCTGAGTATATCTAAGTTCAAGGCTTAACATTCTATATTTAATCCTGTTATGCTATAAAATGTGTGGCTACTTTACACAACAGAATTGAGAACAAGATAAAGAAAGAAGCATAGCAGAATAAGACATGGAATGTTAAATTCTAGCCTATGTAACCTGTAACCTGGCTCTACAAAATGTATTTGAGAAATTTTTTAAAAAATCTGTTAAAACTCAGTTAAAAAAAAAAAAAAACAAAACAGTCCAGTTAGGTGTCAAAATTTATCATCTTATAAACTGTAGTATACCCTAAGCCAAACATGAGTTTTATAGATAGATGCTCAAGATTACTCTGACTCAATCTTTCAGACAAGGTCTAATATGCACAATATTTTGATACAGAAAAAAGTACTTGCCTTCATATGGTGTGTCTGGAGGTCCTGCTATTTCTCCTCTTAATTCTGTAAAATTCTCATCTACAAGATCTACTTTAATTTGATTTTTGCTCGTCTTAAAAATAAACAGAAAATAAATGTTAGTTATACCAGCAAGAAGAAAGTCTAATTTAAAATATTACCTATGTTAAAAACCCATTTTTCATGTTTGATTATCTACTTTAGTAAAACAAGTCAAAGCTTTTCTAAAACCTAAAAAAAAATTTTAATAAACACATTTTAACCTCGATATTTTTAATAAAATTAGTACCAGTCTGAACAAGAGCACAAATGTTTGCTGACCTTGTAAGAATTTTCTTACAGACAAATTACTCTGTTGGCCAATTCAGTGCATGCTATTCATCCACAGTGGACAGCTAAGATACTTGGTCTCTACACTGTCTGCTCAATCCCAAGAAAATGGATGGTTCAGTAAAAGCCATTTAGCTCTCATTTGAATTAATCACAACAACTCTTAGATATCTGATAAACTGGTTAAATTACTGTACCACCCACCGCAATGATAAACACTCTAGGCATAGCATTCTTTTCCATGGTAAAAGCCAAAATTCACTACTAGAATCTGCTAATGCCTTCAACTTATTTTTCTGCTTCATTTACTTCAATGACAACTATCTTCTAACTAAAACAAACCTACTTTTAACTTACCTAAATCTACTTGCACTTAATGATCTCAAAGTATTTTTCATAACCTTGTGACACACCGTCCTCAAGAGCCATGTTAACTTTAAATAATTCAGTACCACACCCAATGTGATTTACATTAGCATTCTCTTCTAAAGGATCTACCTGCCTGCAAATAAGCTCTCTTCATTTACCATCTTATGCTTTTCTTGTTATGTTATTGCTCTACATACTGAACACTCTTAATTTACTGGTTTTCTTAATTTGAAACTAAAGACCTAATGCATAGATTTTTTTATCTGAATTCCATATTTTTATATAAGTAACATGCCTCCATGTATGAAAGCAAGTTTCACAAAGATCCAACAGCGAGCTTGTTGGTTTTTGTGAGCGCCATCCCGCCTTCTGGATGGATGGAACAGCAGGAATGAATACTGTTTAAGGCCTTTAGTGTCTTCTTTTCACCTCTGACAGAAACCATCAACCAGTTTTACTGTTTTGTCTAATAAATATTTTTAGCATAGAAACAGCATATAACTCAAAATCCAGGTTTTTAAGTTTTCCTCACTCATAGTATTTTAATAAAAGCACAGGATGAAAAAAGATGACTCTTATGCATTCTAAAAGCATTCTAATTGGTAATGGTTTCTTTCATAACCTGTTGTCTAAGATGACAGTATCTCATTTTTTTTTCAAAATATTTCGTTAAAAGATTATTAATGATAAATATACATGAGAAGCTTCTTCCTGTATCCTAGGAAATTAGAACTCTTTTTTAATTGTGGTGGTGGAGGCAAAAATGTCTATTTTTGTAAAGTAAAAAGCACTTTGTCCATTATGTACAAGAGTTAAAACTGGAGGCACCGAGTTTTGCCAAACAATTCAAGCAACCATAAGTATTAACTTCATACTTCATTTCTCCCACTAAGATTTTTAAGCAAAACAGTATCTTGTAAATCATCAGTGCTTTCAAAAATCACTACATGGCATCCACAATCAAACTTCTTCTGTGTAAAACGAAGTAAACAATGATAAAATGTTGCAGGACTAAAGAATCTAATTAGAGTCAAGTTTTTGAAAGGGAAAGAGAAGATAATAAATTAGAAAACTTTTTTCTTACAACTATCCCAATTCTCTGGTTAGTAAAATACTAAGTAATTATTAATTTTTATACCTGTCCTTCTATCTGTCCACATCACCCCCATATTATAATTCAGAGGGAAAAATAATGGATCTTTTTTTCACTCTAGAGAAAAAAGACTATTAGTATATGAAGAATTTACTAAATCAACTCAAGAAACTACCACCACCATGATAAATCCCATTATAAAGAAGCATTCTACATGGTCTAGAGTAGGGACTTTATCTTCAGATAACTAAAAAGAAAAGTTATAGAAATGTAATGCAAAGTTAAAAACTAGGATTTTTCAAAACTCAATTTTTCTATTAAGTGAATTATTCTTTAGAGCTTTACAGTTTGATTTAAACATCCAATTATTTCATAATCCAAACCTCCCACTACCCCCACATCCAAAACGTGCTGAATCCTGCTCTGTCCCTGACTCATGTTAGTAGTTCAGGGTATGTCACTGAACCCATAACTATCAATTTTATTACTATAAAATGAGAATTTATGTCTCACAATCATTTTGATAACATAAATTTTACTATTTCTGCAATTTATGTCTTTTTGTTGTTGTTTTTGTTTTTTTTTTTGTTTTTTTTTTTTTTGGTTTTTCGAGACAGGGTTTCTCTGTGTAGCTTTGCACCTTTCCTGGAACTCACTTGGTAGACCAGGCTGGCCTCGAACTCACAGAGATCCGCCTGGCTCTGCCTCCCGAGTGCTGGGATTAAAGGCGTGCGCCACCACCGCCCGGCGTTGTTTTTGTTTTTAAAAGGGGGAATAGTAGTGGTGCTGGGAATCAATCCCAGGGTCTTTGGGCATGCGAGGTAAGACATCACCAGCATTTATCTCAGAGTAAGTAAATTACCTAAACAGACACTCCATCATTACCCTTTGCTTAACAATATCTACAAACCTCTGATTACAAAGCCTTGGTTTTTGTTGCTGTTGTTGTTTTTTATTTGGGTTTTATTTGGATTTCTCTGTGTAACAGTCCTGGCAGTCCTGGAACTCGCTCTGTAGACCAGGCTGGCCTCGAACTCAGAGATCCGCCTGCTTCTGCCTCTGAGTGCTAGGATTAAAAGCATGCACCACCACCACCCAGCTACAAAACCTTATTTTATAACTCACTTCTCAGTTCTGCTACCAGACTAATATATGGTATTCTAAAAATGAAAACCAACATGTTACCAATGAAGAGTACATCAGTCAGAGGCTGCAGCATTTACACAAACCCCTGAAGTGTGGTATTTGGGCACTGCAACTTTAGTGAGGATAACTGCAAAGTTGTTTTTCTATAACCTTCTTCTAATAGTTCAGCACAAGGCAGGAGTTCTAGTCTCGGTTTTTCTGATTCTCCTTTAGATCTACAAAGCATTACTAATGCTTAAACACAAAATAGATGGCCAGGCACCTCATGAGTTTGAAGCTACATAGCAAGTCCCAGGACAGCAAAAAGCAGGGGGAGGGAGGGGGGATGAGTAAAAGACACAGCTCCTAGTAAGCAATGTAATTATTAAAATAGAGCATAGAACGCTGAAGATAATCTGTATGAAGCTAGATGAACATTACTGCTAACGAGAAAGTACAGAATCAGTTGGTAAGGGTGCCTAGAAGGCATGAAATCCTGGCTGGATTTGTGACCCCAAAACTAGGGAGGTGGAAGGAGAAGTATCAGAAAGTGAAGGTCATCCTCAGCTACATAGCAAATCTGATGCCAGCCTAGATAGACTACACGAGACTTTGTCTCAAAAGGAGGAAATCGAGGGGAAGAAACTGAAGGAAAAGAAGGTCAGTCACGGTTCACTAAGTAAAGGGAGCTGACACCAAAAGTGATAATTTCTAGCACCCATGTGGTAGGAGAACCAACAACCCATACATCAAGACAAGCTGTCCTTTAATCTCCCTGCACCCACATGTGCATGTACACACAAACATAAAATTAAGATGGTAAAAAACGTGCAAAATGCAATGTAGTTTTAGGCTGGTAATAGGTATACAGAGCATGGCTGTAGCTTAAAGCTAACACTACCCTTCCCTCACCCCCAAAAAAGGGCTGAGACACGTCTAATACATTTTCAGGAATGAGGAAAAAAAAACAGTATAGAAAGCAATCCTTGACACAGCAATGCTGAGTGTAAGTAGCAATTTGTGCTATTACTGTTCTTTCAGTCTCTCTATGCAGACCAGGCCAACCTCGAACCTGTGACAATCTTTCTGCTTCAGCCTACTAAGTGCTGGGATTCTAATTATGTACCACCACGCAAACGTGGTATTGAGGATCAAAGCAAGGCTTTGCAAATGCTAGGGTAAGCACTCTACCTAGCTGAGATACATCACTAGCCCATAAATACTGTATTTGTTATTATGAGTATGGGTGCTAATGAGTACATAAATGCCTGTGTACCACTCGCTTGTCTGGTGCCCATGGAGGTCAAAAGAGGCCACTAGATCCCCTGGAAGAGAATTACAGGGTGAGACATCATGTAGGTGCAGAGAATTGAAAGAGCACGTGCTATTAACTACTAAGCTATCTCTCTAGCTCAATTTTTTATTTTTTAAAAGTAAAAAATTTTTCAAATACACCTTGCTTGTATTTATTCTAAAATGAAATTTTAAGCCAAATATCAAGATGACAAGGTAGTACATATTTATGATCCTAAGCATTAAGGATGCCGAAGTATAAGGATCACCTTAAATTCAGGGCCAGCCTGGTCTACCTACACATCAAATTCCCATCCAGATGAACTGCATGGACAGACCATCTTAAAAGGATATGCTGCTGAAGAGATAACTCAGGGTTAAGAACACAGTTCCCAGCATCCACAGGGTGTCTCTCAACTGTCTCTAACTCGAGTTCCAGGAGCGCTAACATCACCAGCTGTGCAGGTGGTGCACACACCTGCAGGCAAAACAGGTATACACACAAAATAAAAACAAGAGGCCAAACGAGGTGGTGCACGCCTTTGATCTTAGCACGTGGGAGGCAGAGGCAAATGTATCTCTGAGTTCAAGGCCAGCCTGGTCTACAAAGTGAGTTCCAGGTCAGCCAACGGTACACAGAGAAACCTTGTCTTAAAAAATAAAATTAAACAAACAAACGAATGAATGAATGAATGAATGAATGAATGAATGAATGAATGAATGAATAAGGGGGAGGATGGAAGGGGGGGGAGACAAGACAACTATATGGGCATGGTAGTCCAGTACTCCTGTCGGAACACAAGTCTATGAATGAAGCTGTGTGAGAATTCTGAGAGGTTCTAAGACAGACCTCTGTTCCTCCAATAGATGAGTTGTTCTTGGAA